CACTTAGAACAGCTTATGCAAGCAAAGAAATACATTTTCAGATCGTGATTTTTTTCTGAGCTTATTTTTATTTCCTAGTCATTGACATTTCTTAGCAAATTTCATGTGAAGCTGCAATCACCCAGGAAAATCCAAATAGCAGCAGATTTGGAAAAGTGTACTCATGTAGGATTGTGGCAGGCAGAGTACAATGGAGTCACATCTGCTAACTGGAGGTGAGTTAAAGTCAGGAGAGTAAGGCAAAACCTTAGTCTGCAAAAATGCTTTTTACAATCTCTTAAATGGCTTATAGAGTACAGTATACATGGGTTTGTGTCATTAGCCCTGCACAGTAATTCTTATGCACAGTTAAAGTTTATTTACTACTAAGTTAGTGGTCTTCGAAACCTTAGTGTGCATCAGAATCACATAAAGAGCTTCTCAAAATACTGATTGTTAGCCCACTCCAAGAATTACTCACTCAGTAGGTGGAGCTCAAGATTCATATTTCTAACAGATTCCCAGGTGATACTACTGGTGAGACTACACTTCAATAACTATACTAAGCAGTACTAAACAAAAATCCACATATATTTAAATAATTCTGTCATCAAGATGGTTATCAAATTTCCGACAATGGCAGATAAGTGGAGAATTCTAAAGAGTACTCTCTTCTGTTTTAATATTCTTTATAATATGAATATGAGTTAATAGATTTGTTCGTAGTCTTACAAATTAAACATACACAAAATAGTACACCGCAATATATGAGTGTATGCTATTATGCATATGCATATGTATTGTTTAAAAATTTAATTTTGCCTGGCACATGAATAAGTGCTCGCTCAATAAACGTTTGCTAAATTTGAATCTAAATCTTATGTGACATAGATACTACATATTCGAAACATTGTAGAATAGAACTTGGACACTTGCTTTCTATATTGTCAACTTGTCATATACTGCTATTATGTCCATGGGCATTGATCTCATGGTAGTGTATGGGTGAGGACAATTGTTCTGAAATCTGAGACTAATTTAACTGTGCATATAGTGCTATCTTGATATTTTGATTTGGTGTCTAATGTTTCTAGTAACTTTCTCACAATATAGATATTTTAAGAAAAGTCAAATGGGTAAACTGACCTGCTTGTAGTGGAGGAATCTTTATAATATTGTAGGCAAATGAAAAATTTTTCCCAAAGCAATTACCAATGTTGTAAACAGTTCCATCACTTTCAATGTGGGGGTGAGCTGTGGCTCCATTAACTGAGACATAGTTACAAAGATCAACCTATGGAAGAAGAGCGAATGTCAATCATGTTGAGAGAAAGGTTATATTACACCTTTGGTCCCTTGTTTTGACCTCACCATTACTGCTTGCACCCTTACCCTAAATGCACTTTCTCTTTCTTTCCATCTCTCTGAGTCATACCCTCTTTGAAGTCTGCCTGAATTCCCATATTCAATGCAGAGCTCTCCTCTGACCCCCATACTGACCCCACATGCCTCTGAAATCTGAGTTCTCCTTGACTATGCTCTTTAACAGATGTATACTATATACTGCTTTGGTTAGTTATTGTACTTTTGCACATTGCAGTTTTTCCTCAAGCAATGATGAAGTTGAACGCTGGGACTTCCTAATATTCCCATTTGTTGTATTAGATGAATTGTACAAAATCGCTAATATTTAATAATTTTCATTTTACAAAAATAGCAATTTTGTATTGTACAACCTAAATACCATGCCCAGTGTCTTCCATAAAGTATGAAGCTGGAACTGAAAGGAACCCCAACATTCATCTAGTATAGAATGTCTTAATCTAAATAGATTTCAGGGGAACCATAAAACCTCCTGGAATTAAATGTAAATGTTTTTGGAGAGAGGATTTAGTGTTTTAATTAAATTTGTAGTCACATAAGATATTCAGAACCACAAATCTAACACAAACCTCTTATTTACAGAGGAGAAATTGGGGTCCCGAGAGTTCAAGTGGCTTGTTCAAGGACACAGAGCCAGATACTGGCAAAATTGGCTCTTGAATTTCTACCTGGGACCTGCTCAGTAAAGATTTATTGAATGAGTAATTGATGGAGTATATATTTGCTTAAACAAAATATTTACTCTTTGATTAGGTGAATATGTTTTAAAGTATAGGGAATTTTTAGCATCCTATTTCAATAATAGCCAAGGTATCCATTCAGTCATTCATTAAGTACTTATTGAGCTTCTATTGTATGTTGGGCTCTGTGCTTGGGTCTAGAGAAACAGAGATGGTCCATGCTTTCAAGAACTTCAGTGTAGACTTGTGCTGTCCAATATTGTGACCACATGTAGCAATTTAAATGTAAATTAATTATAATTAGATAAAACTTCAAATTCAATTCCTCAGTCACATTAGCCACATTTCAAGTGATCAATAGCATGTGGACAATGCAACTATAGAACACTGCAATCATTGTATAAAGTTCTAATTGATGGTGCTGTGGTAGACTGGTAAGCTGGTATACAGACAGTGCTATAAGTGTAAAATGACATCTGTAGAGAAAAACCATCTAACCCAGACTAGGAAATTAGGCAGGGCTTCCCAAGGTGATTACTTCAACTATGGCTTGAAAAATGAGTAAAAGTTAGTCAAATAGAGAAGGATGACAGTGTGTTCCAGGGAGCGGGAATGCTAATGTACAGGCCCAGAGTTGTGAAACAGCACATGCTGTTTGGGGACTACTAGTTGTTCAACATGGCTGCCATGAAGGGCCTGCATGGAGGAGGGGAATGAAGAATGGGCCAGCCACAAAAGCCCTTGTTTGGACTTTATCTTGGAAACTGTGGGTGCCCGAAATAGAGTAACACATTCATACTTGCATTTTAGAAATGCAAGTATGAATGTCTACTTGGATTAAGGAAGTTATATTTAAGAGAATCAGACTGGAAACAGAGGCACTGAGTAGAAGGCTATTTCAGTAATAGCAAACAAAAAAAACCCTCAACTTTTAAAACTATATTTTTATTTGAAGTCATGTTACATTGCTGTTCTCAATGAAACCTGACTCCTGATAAAGTCTATTCTGGAGCCATACCATGAACTTTATATTTCCAATTAAATTACCATGGCAGTTAGAATACAGATTCACTATATCAGTCATTTTTAGTTCTTCTCTAAATTATCTATACATATACTCATATGTGGTTACAAACATACATCAAAAACAAGAAAGAATGGTTGAGAATATGTTAAGCCTTAGTAAATAGTCCGTTGAGAGTTATAAATCGGCTCATGTCATTGAGACCCAGTGTTGGAACTATTTTTACTTTCTATTCCCACTACACTAAATTTCTAGTTCTGATCTTGAATTCTACCAAACTGGTCCCCTAGCTATCCCTTATCTCTTTTACCCACCCATACAGTTTACACATGGCAGTTAAATATCCTAAAGTGCAGCTCTGTTTATACCATTTCTCTAAGCAAAAACTTTCAGTAGCTTCCCATTAGCTAAACAACTTATTCCAAATTTTTTTCTATTATTCAAACTTTTAGTTTCACCCTGCCCTGTTTTCAACTATCCTCCTTGACGGTGCATGTTCTAGATCCCTAGTTCTCAACTGAAAATGATGTTGGCCCCTCAGAGGAGAGCTAGAACTGTTGGGGAACATTTGTGTTTCCACAGTGATTGAGGGCATGATTAAGGATATTTAGCGGGTGGGGCCAGGGATGCCAAACCTCTGCAATATCTGAGACAGTCCCCACACAATGAATGATTCTACCACTAGCACCTCCATTTAAAAATACTGCAAACCTAGCCAAATAAGTTATTATTTAGTTTCCATGAGCATATCCTCTATTTCCCCATCTCTATACCTTTGATCATGTTACTCCCTCTATCTGAATGTCCTTTCTCCAAATTCATTGAAGTTGTGCCTCTCCTTTAACTTCTAACTCAAATGCAAGTCTTTTTAACCTTCCTTGACTTATCCCACTTTACATCCCCCAACTACTGAGAAGAGTAATCTCTTTCTTCTCTGTGCTTTCATAGGTTTTCCTTCTCTTAAAGAACTCATCATATTATGTGTCCTGTCATAGTCAAATTGTGTAATTGTTTGATTTCTCCATCTAGATGTTAAACTTTCTGAAGACAAGAACAATGACTTCAAATGGTTAGATCTTAATAAGTACTGATTGAAAAGGTGGATCTACTTTATTGAATGCTGCATTGATATTGCCTAAGTTAGCAAAATTTGTCACTTTTTAATATTGCTGATATTTTTTCTATGCTATTTTATTTCAATAAATATTTGTGTCACAAATGAATAAATGTTAGGCATCTTATAAGGCTTTCCTCCAATTCATATAATGTGTTTAAAATTTCATAGATGAATAAACAAAGTCTACCCAATGTCACGTAATTAGTAGATGATGACGCAGCAAGAATTTGAAAATATGGCTCTCATGTTCTTTCCACCAAATTGCACAGTTGATTTAATTCTAAGTTGCAGTTATAAATTTTTTTTAAATTTATATATTTTAATTAGTTTCAAATATACAATACATTGGTTAGAAATTTATATAGTTCATAAAACAATCCCCCCAATTGCTCCCTCCCTCCCCGGCCCTCCACCTAACCAACATATTAGTGCTAACTGCATTCCCTATGCCGTGCTCCCCATCCCTGTAACCATATATCGACTACTAATTTGTACTTCTTTAACCCTTCACTCCATTCTCTCAGCCCCCCAACACCTCTTCCCCTCTGTCTGTCACCAAATTGTCCACTGTATTTGTCTGTTTTTGATTAGTTTGTTCTTTTTGTTCCTTAGATTCTGCATATAAGTGAAATCATATGGTATTTATCCTTCTCTGTCTGATCTATTTCACTCAGCATAATAATCTTTAGGTCTATCCATGACGTTGCAGTTCTAAATTTTTGAGCAATGTCACCTGGACACCATGTCCTACCTGCTTAATTGTCTCCAAGGTCTCGGGATTAATTTTTGTAATGAAGTTGGTCTCTGTGCAGGCATAGTAATCTTCCCCCACTGGGTAGACATTAACAAGGGCATTGTCAGTAATCTCTACTCCTCGAAAGTAAGAAAAAAACCTGTAGAAGTAAATGGATTTTTCAGTCTAGTAACTTCCAAGCCATGAAAGAAAAAAGGCTAACATAAAATGTTTTTAATACATGCAGTTGAGTTTCAGTAACCTGGAAAATATATTCTTGCAGGGATCTGGGAAAGCATAGGTGCCAAATTCTGTGATGACGATCCTTTTCTCAGTCATTGCCCGTACGTAAGCATCAGTGCGGATGAACCTGAAGTTACATTGAGACATAGGAAAGGGTCATGGACAGGGGCAATCAGTCCACATGGAGCTTAGAATGGTCATTCTGTGTGTCCCTATCGAGTCAGAATCATAAATCCACAACATGAAGAATGAAGAGTATTGTCAGGTCTTTTTCTTGGGGTGACCGAGGGAGAAAGACACAATGTGCCATAAGCTTAAATTTATGTCTTATAAATCTCACAGTGACAGCTGAGGAAACCAAGGCTCAGAAAAATTTAATGATTAGTATATCACTTAATTTGCTGAGCTATAAAACATGCACTTTCCATATCACACCACCCAGCCTCATGATAGTTTACACTGGACCTCTGATTTCTGGTAGCTTATAACCTATCAACCTGCACTTAGCAGGAAATATAAAACATGGCATGCTGAATTAGATTCCTTTCAATCTCCCTTATGTCCTTCTTGTGTTTTCTTCAGCAACAATCTCCTATTTGTAGGAAATTTCTCTTTCTTGTATCATTATGACATATATGGTCCTTCCCTGTGGCCTTTCTGATTATAAAAAAAAGGAAGGAGTTAAGAGAGCCAATGGTTTAACAATAATAGCAATAACTATTATTACTGAATGCCTCCCATGTGCTAGGTACTGTGTTGTTATTTAATCCTTGTAATGAACCCTGAAGTAGATTCTAATATTTCTCATTTTAGAGATGACAAGAATCAAGAATTAAATACTAACATCTTGCCAAAGATTACCCACTTATGCCAGTGGTGTCCGATGGATATAGGATTTGAAGCCAGGTATGTTGGAACCCAAAGCCCTAGTTCTTAGCTTCTTCTTTATCCCATATCCCAGGTGTCCATGCAGATGCACTGGCCCGAGTGAATACTCAGAGAAGTGAGTATATAAGTCCCCTCTTAGGTTCAGGAGATTGAAAAGCACAGGGGAAGAGGAGCTGAAAAAGGCCCCACTCATAGTAGGGGGAAATGGCCTAGTGTTTCTTTACCTTCTATAGTATGTGACATGTCCTTCTTTAAAGTCAAACTTGTGCAGGAGGGCTTGCCCATCAAATAGGTGGTAAAATGGCTCAGATCCAACTTCGAAGAGTCCTGGCCCACATCGAAGGAGACTGCCGGTGAGCCAGAGAGGAATCCTGCCTGTGATGAATATGAGACACAGAACATTGCTTCTTTCCCCTGCCCCTGGCCGGGCTGTTCCTGGTACAGTGTAGTGATTATATTAGCAGCCTGATTGGGCAGCCTCTTCTTTATAAAGATAGCAGTGATTTTTATTCCCAGCTCTTATACTAGGCAGCACTTAGCAAGTGCCTGCTGATCAACCCTTCTTTCACTAGGAGACCAAGTTGGGGGAAATGTGGCAATACCTTAGAGTTTGGATATGTGGATTGAGAGACCAAAAAAAGCATTTTGAGGGGAATTGAGTTCTCTATCTAATAGATTTCTCTGGATACCAATACATTTGCTTTTTTTCTAAAATTTCACTATTAAGAAAAATTTCAAATTCCTTGACATATTTATGGAGTGAGGGTAGAAGAGATGGATAAAGAGCAAGGATCAAGACACTAAAAAGATGTCTATAAAATAAATTATTTAAAAGAAGCAACAAGAACATTGTCTTTTAAAATAAGGAGCTATATTCTTTTGAGGGTGTGGGCTACTGTCCAGGTAAAGGCCAACCTGCTGTAGCAGAAAGTGCACAGGGCTGGGTATTAGGGACCTGGATTCTGGTTCAGGATTTGCCTCATGCCATCTCTTGGCCTCTATCTCCTCAATTGCAAAATGAGAGGCACACAAGAAAGGCCTTATGCCTTTCAGTTTAATCAGTTCCATTTGTGCCCTTTTATCCTTTGAGAAGTGCAGTGTTTGTTTAATCTTTGCCTATGCTTTTTTTTTTTTTTTTAACAAATAGATTATTTTCTACAGCTCAGTTTGAGCAAACCACTTGATAAGGGTTTGTGTTTTGGACAAAAACTTTAAGAAGATATGGCTTTACTAAAAGGTGTGATATTAATTTGATTGCTAGAACCTAATTGTTAGCGTCAGAATCTGGGTAAGAGCATTTGGCTCATCCCTTCTATTTTATAAAAGGGAAACTGGGAAGAAAGAGACTTACCCAGACTTTGGCCTATCCCATAACCTCATATCCAGGCAAGGATGCTGTATGAGTCATGTGATGTTTTTGGATAATGATAACAATATTACTAACTACCACCTATTGATTACTTTGTGTCAGATACTGGGTAAAAATTTCTATTTACATTATTTCATTTAACATTTACAATATCCCTCTGCAGTAAAATTTGTTTTTTGGTAGGTGAGAGAATTGAAGCTCAGAAAGTTTAAATAACTTGTAGGATTCACAGCTAGTAAAATAAGAGAACTGCAATTAGCACCTACGCCTACCTGATTCCAGAACCAAGACTCTTCCAATATAATGGTCATAAAACCTACCACCCTTCAATGTAATATTCTCAGATGCTTGTCACTGGGGCCCTCATTTATTCAGACATTGGTGGAAGAGATATTTATAGGAAATTTACTTTGTGTCGGACATTGAGCTAGGCACTGACAAAAGTGTAGTCCAGTTTTCAAGAAATTCAAGTTAGGTAGCATTTTTTTTTTTTTTACATTAGAGAAATAAAGAAAAGGTAAATGAGAAGAAATGAGTTATGGATATAAAAATTTCCAACCTCCAGATTCCTGTCTGTAGCCCACAGCAGGAGCAAGTATTGAGAGGTGCCCACAAATAAAAAGACAGAGAAGAGAGCTGGCAAGGAAATAGAGAGGGTGGCTTCAAGATCCGTGAGACCCACCTGTAACATGAGCCGTGAGTGGTGAGGAGAGTTCCTCCACAGTTTCGAACAGTTTCTTGTAACCACTAGCAGGATGCTCGACTCTGAAATGGTGGAATAATGGGTAAGAAGCCCATGATGCTACTCAAAGAAGTCCAAGGAGGCAGAGGCAGAAGCAGGGCTCCAGGAGAAAAGGCGCTCTGGCTTAATGCCAATGAACCCCACCAGTCCAGTCTCACTCAAGAAGCACATGGTGCTTGGGGGAATAGAAAATTACTCAAGAGGGGTCTGGGTAATTTCTTCTTTGATGTCAGAAAAAATCACCTCCCTTTTAATGTCACAGTGGACTTAATCCTGCCCTCTTCAGTTTTTCCATATTTCCAAAGATCAATCAATGACTCCTGCTGCTATCACTTCCCTTCCTGGCAGAGTCCTTCTCATAGAATTACGCTGCCTTGTCGTTACTCTCAGGTTACTGTATCTTGATTTTCTTGTCTCACAGGGAGTCTCATCTCTCTCCCTTCTATGAGTCTAGAGATAATAGCATTTTGGGTCAATACCTCATTCTTTGTTATTCACCCATATTATACCATCATCTCTTCCTGTCATTTTGTTTCTTTACCAGTCTCCAAGAGCTACAGTACTTTTTAAAAATAGTCAGATGAAAAGATTCAAGTTTTATGTTTTCACTTATTTCCTGCCTCCTCACTTTGGTTCCATTTTATAACCTCTTATAGTGGGAGCTCTGACTAGATTCTCTAATTATGATGGTTATCTTTTATTAAGCACTTACTATGTGCCATACACCATTAAAAAAAAAAAACTTTGCATGCTATTAGTTCTCTTAAACCCCATAACAATACAGTGAGGTAAGTATGATCATTATACTTATTTTATATATAGAAAACCCTAGACTTTAAGACATTAAGTAATTTGCCCCAAATCACAGAGCTAGGAAGTGGCTGGGCAAGAAGTGGAAGCAAGGTCTGCCTTACTGAAATCCTCATGCTCCCAGCTGCTTCTAAGGGCCATCCTAAGACACACAGATCCCACTGTAATTTAGACCTAAACTCTATATATAGGAAGAAAATCTCTCATCAAGACCCGAGGCCTTCCCTAAACAGGCCATCGATTCTCTTCAGGAGCTCTTGAAATAGCCCACTTACCATCAATCTATTAAGGCATTTAAAAGAAATCTTCCGGAGTTACTTACTGGATGGACATTTTCTTTTGGTAGAAGGTTGAGAGGTCTGTCACCAAATCCAGAATGAGGAAGCAAGTCCTCAGCCAGGGACCTTTATATGCCTTTTAAATCCTCCTAAAAGGAATTATAGCTTTGAGAAGCCTTTCCACCCCCTTAGCTGAGGGAAGGGGAACAGAAGTGGCTTTCAGTTCTCAGATCCACCTGATACTTGAGCATTATTTGAACTTGCTGTTCCCATAACAGTTTCTTGGGCTGTTTTCCAGAGACCTCGATCCTTCCCAAAGAGAATGAGGAGTGGATTAGAAAGAAAGAAGCTGTGTGAGAGTGGCTAGCATCAGGCCTGAGCTGGTCCAGGTCACCCCAGTGGAACCTGGCACCATTCTCTGGTGCCCAGCTCCCTCTACCACCTTTGTGCTCTTACCTTCACCCTCATTCATTTATTCATTTATTTATTTTTTAAAAAATCTATTATACATTGCCTATGGACCAGACAGAGATAGGCACAGTCCCTATTTGAACACATCTTGTAGCTCTGCAAGGGTAACAGAAAACTAGTAAACTATTCAATACAGTTTTGTAAGTGCTATGATTGGAGAAGTGTAAAGGGTTATGGAAGTACATTATAGGACCTGTAACCTCTTTGGTCACCTTATTGACCCCATTCAGTGCCCCAGTTCCAACCAGGCTGAGGACTATAGCTTGGATTTGTCCTTTTGATTTGTTGAAGATGAAACCTGTTTTGTATTCTTATCACTAATGCTTGCCTGCTCTCCACCTCACTTTCCTGTCTATAGGTGTGTATTCTGCACTCAGAGAATATATAGAACTATTTCATTCATATTTCTACACTCTTTTATTAAACATGAATTCTTTCCTAGCACAGACATGGTACTGCCAAAAGGAGTCCCCAGAAACGAACAAGATACATACTATATCAGCTAATGAGAAACTCATTAACCATTTTAAAATTAATAACTAGCTATGGCTACCCACCCTAGGGATCTTCAACAAAATTGTATAGCAATTAATCTGAGCACTCCTCAAGATAAAAGATGAGAGCTTACTTTCCCAGCCTACCTTGCAGTGAGGGTGCAGGCATGTGACCTCAGCTCTACCAATCAGAGTCAGGGATAGAGGTTCTAGTGGTAGGACACCCAGTGCCAAGAATCTACGGTGTCTCTGTTCAACTAAGGCAGTTGTGTCTCCACTAGAGCCATTCTACAGTGAAACATAGAGCATTATCACTGGCCTGGTAATGTCCAAGCCCCATTCTTTAGCCATTGCAGAAATTCTGTTAGCTACCTAATATTTAAAATATTTGTGTGCTGCTTTGATTAACTAAAATCGATGTCTTGTTTGCAACTTTATAAAATGATGGTAATAAAGGGTACTGTGTTATTGCATAGAAAGAACATCCTTGTTGGCATGTGGAGGTCTCAGAAGGATTTTTGAGGAAGTATCTAAGCTAAGATAGGAAGACTATGTAAAAGTTAGCCAGTCAATGGGCAAGAAGGGTATTCAGGTACAACTTGTAGAATTTACAAAAGTCTGGAAGTAAGCATGATTTTGAGAAACGGTAAGCGATAAAGCTAGATCAGGACAGATTTTGCAGTCTCATAAACTATATAAAGAAATCGTGACTCAAATCATGAGAACAGAGGGAATAACTTTAAATGTTTTATTCAGAAGATTGATACAGTCTGATGTGTTTTTTATTAAGGCCACTTTGATTACATTTTGGATAATATGTTGGAATGGGAAATTTGGGAAAGATAAATTAGGAAAAGACCAAACAAGTGAAAGTAGCTGATATAGGAGAATGTATTGGGAATGGATATGAATGGTGAGATTCAAGAGATATTTCAGAAGAGGACTGATCACACTTTGTGATTGGTGAATGCATTGGGGAAATAAAAGGCAGAAAAAGGATGACCATTAGATTTATGGCTTGAAATATGCTACAACTCATTGAGATAGCGCACACTGTGTGAGGGGGTATGTGCGTGCGTGTGTGTGTGTGTGTGTGTGTGTGTGTGTGTGTGAGAGAGAGAGACAGAGAGAGAGAGAGAGAGAGAGGGAGAGAGGGTAGTGTGTGTATGTGTGTGTGTATGTCTGTGTCTGTGTGTGTGTGTGTGTGTGTGTGAGAGAGAGAGAGAGAGAGAGAGAGAGAGAGACAGAGAGAGAGAGAGAGACAGAGAGAGAGAGAGACACAGAGAGAGAGAGACAGAGAGAGAGAGAGAGAGAGAGAGATGTTTTAGTGATGCAGAATGAATTCTGATTTTGATTAAAGAAAAGACATCACTGGGGGCTGTATAGTTTGAAGGCTTCATAGAGAAGTGGAGTGAGTGGGATTATGAAAGATTGCCAGCGCGTGGACACAGAGAAGATGGAGAGGACATTCCTTGTGAAGTTTGCATAATGAGAGAAGGCAGAGTAGGCAGTTTGAGAGGTCCATGTTAGAAGGCCTTTCTATCTCCGAGAATATATAGCACTATTTCATTCATATTTTTTACGTGGTTTTATTAGACATGAATTGTTTCCCAGCACAGACATGGTATTTCCTAAAGAAGTCCCCAGAAACAAACCTTTGATATTCTGGAGCTGCAGCCACATTTAAAAACAGGAATCGATTTTAGTAGATTTTGCACTTATATTACATCTTCAGTGGCCTTTATTTTTCAATCTATTTCAATGCTGGAGGTCATCTGCTTGAGGGCTATTTGTTTTAAAAATACAAATTACAGCAATTCATTCCTGGAAGGTTTACAGACTTATGGATCATTTGAGCTGTCAAGTTAGTATGCTTGATTAAAGTCAGGATGAAAACTAATTACTGTTCACTCAACCTCAAAGAACTTTGAGTTCTTCAGGTATAAAATAGAGGAAATAGGTAAAAGCATTTTTTTTTTAGCCAAAAGCACTCGATAAAAATAATACCAACAAGGGCTCATTCTCAGGAAGTTTGATTTCATATATAATCGTCCAGCTAATACCTCCTACCTCAGGGGTAATCCACTTCCCCCCATTTTCCTGTTGGTATGAAATCAGAGCAAAGCTGGGATATATCCTTTCCAAAGCATCGTTTTAACCTCTTGGCTCCTAAAGATCCTTTTTAAGGTCTAACTGTAATCTTTTGTTGTTTTGCTGTGATACTCCAGACCTGTAATGTATTGTTACTTTTCCTCTCATCCTCTTCTCTTATCTTCCACCTTAATTTTTCATTATTTGGTAAAATCAGATCTTCATGTTCAGTTTCTGTGTCTGCCAAAGAAACTTGCATTTTAATACATTTTGGTACATGTACCAAAATAAAATTCTGTGAATCAAAACAATAAAACATCTTCCTTCAAACAGAAATTTCTAAATAGGAATTGGTTTCACATTTCTTTGAAGAAAACATTTTTGAGAGTATAATACAAGCTATTTTTTTCATCCTAATATTAGGCAGACCATGCAGGGCCTAGAGCTCATGGTGAGGAGTTTGGATTGTATCCTGAGAGCAATGAGAAGATGTTAAAGGGTTTTAAGCAGGGAATGACTGAGGCGATCTGATTTATATTTTGGGAGAAAATCAGTCTCCCTGATATTTGAAGAACGGATTATAAGTGTCTGATGTAGAAGTGGAGAAAGCAGTAGTTCAGGTGAGGTAATAATGGTTTTTAAACTAGAGTAGAGCAATACGAATGGGAAAAAAAAGTAGATGAATTTGAGGTCTGTTTGGGAGGTAGAAGTACAGGACTTGTGTGATATAATTGATATGTCTGGGATATTAGAAAATGGGGTCATGGGATATGTAAATTATCTATAGCATAAAAATTAAATACCAAACCTCAGTGCCATACAACGAGTCTGGGGTGGTTGGCTAGGTAGATCTGCTGATATTGGTTGGATTTGCTCCCATAACTGGACTTTAGTCTGTGCTGTGATGAGTCGAATAACTTGACTTTATGTTATAAAAATAAAAATTGCCATAATTTGTATTTTTAGAACAAATAGCATAACATGTCTGCTGTTGAGTAGGGTAATCTGGACATTTTCTCTTGATAATGGCAGAAATGAAAGAGAACAAGCAAAAATATGAAAGGCCACTTAAGGCCTAGGCTCAGAACTGATACACTGCCACTTACACAACCCTCTATTAGCAAAATATTTTTTAATAGGTGTGAAAATAGCCTTTGCCTTTTTAGTCATTAGTGAGAACTACAGTGTCATATGGCAAAGGTCATGCATACAGAAAAGGATAAAGAATTGGGGCCATTTTTTCAGCTTGGTACATAGGAGAACCAAATATGATTTTTAATTTTTTTCTTGAGCAACTGAATTGAGTTTCATATTATTCTTTATGACTAGAGGAGGAATGGTTGGGTGGAAATGGGTATATTGAGTGGTCCCAATTAAATTTGAGATGCTTTAAGACAGGCGTCCCCAACCCCCAGGCCATGTACCAGCACTGGTCCATTGCCTGTTAGGAACCGGGCCACACAGCAGAAGGTGAGCCGCAGGCAGGGAGCAAAGCTTCATCTGTCTTTGCATCCACTCCCCAGCACTAGCATCACCACCTCAGTCCACCTCAGATCATCAGGCATTAGATTCTCATAGGAGCACTGGTCCCTCGTGCCAAAAAGGTTGGGGATTGCTGCTGTAAGATGTTTATCTTCTCCGTGAAGCTTAATTTTCCATCCTTCTCCTTCCCTCCTGTAGCACCCCAGATCCTCCTTACCCCAAAGAAATGTGCTTAGTGGAGGTGAAATTCAAACCAAAGCAATCTGATTCCAGAGTCTGCATTCTTATGAATTACTTCCATCCACATACAGAACTTCTGGTAAATATTATTTTCTCTATTTCAGTACAAGCTGAATGGTATTTTAATGCTCTATGCAGACATATGCTCCTGGAAGATTCCCAGCTGACTTGTCCCTAATCTGTGTCTTCACCCATTCCTGAACCATAGTGTTAAAGTCATTCCTCTTCAAGGAAAATCAGACCATATCCCTTCTATCCTTAGACCCTTTCAGGGGGTTTGCATTTAACTGGATAAAGTCCAAGCACTTTGACATAGCTGTAAG